CTTTAAGGAACCTTTTGCTGTCCGATTATTAATTGATTAATTGAAAAATAATAAATAGTTTAATCCATTAGCATAATAATCGTTAGTTCCAGCCTTAATTTCAACCTAATTAAAGTAAACTGTTAGGGATTGTTTATATCTGCTCAGTAAAAAAAAGAAGAAATTTTTTAAGTAAATTCTCTTTTCTAGCAAGGACACGGTTCCCAAACTGTAGTTCAAGTACCACTGGTGGTACCTGCTTTAAATATTTGAAACATAAATACCAGCAAATTCATTTTAACCCAGGGCTATTATAAACAGCCAAAACACATGAAGAGCTCTCAATAAGACCTGAAGCTATCCACAGCAAACCAAAAATGCTTCAGTTTCCCAAACTGGACGGAAGGTTCCTCATTGTCTTTGGTATGGGACCAATCTACAGTAACTACCATAACCAACAATGCTTCCAAAAAAATTTGTTACAGGGCTACTACCGTACTGTATTTGTGTGCATTTTGGACTTTCAAACATAGCACCATATTCACCCACAGGAGCAGACAGAGTAGAATTACTGCTTTATATGAATGGCGGACATGTTGGATTTTAAGGTTTGGTGAAGAAGTTTCAAATTTAACAGGTAGAATTCAGATCCCTCTGTATGAAAATGCAACCCATACCTCGACCACATGTTTTGGCTAATCAGATAGTGGCATCAGTAAGAAGAGTTTATTTATTTTTCTTCTTTTTGGTAAGTTAGGTTCTAAGTAAACTTCTAATCTAAAATATGATTACTAACCCAAATTTCTTTTCTGATGGTGATCCCGGTCCCTAGTGATGTGAAGCCATCCCAAAGTCTTTCACAGAAAGCACATAGATTTTCAGTGACAGTAGTCTTTTAAATCAGATTGCTGAGAAAGACTGAAGTTTTGCGACTGCACACCACCTGTCAGCTGGCTTAAAGTAACATGGTTCCACTTTGGACCTTAAATAAAAAGTCATGTTTGAATGTTTGGACAGATCGATGGTCATCAAAAACAGATTAAGTAATAAATTGGTAAACAAATGACCAACAAGCATAGCTCTTAATTAACATTGTTTTAAGACTTTAATTAGCCAGCTACAGGCAACCTATACAAAGCAGATAGCCTGACTAATTAACCAGCTTACATCAGCTCATTACAGTCCTGTTACACCATGACTGGGGGATCTGTAACCTGAAGCTTCGGCTACACGTGGCCCTTTAGAACCTAAAACGTAGCTTTTAATATATTTTGCAAGATGCTGGGGAACTTAGCAATGACTTTAAATGTTAAAGGGTATAGAAAACTACTTGCTTTTGCAGTTCTTCCTCTGCATTTTAATGCATGGCATTTCTTTACAGGATGACTATTAGTGCAAAGAATATTCATTTTATGTACAGTAGTATTATCTTTTGGTTGCACGCTATATCCTTTTTTAAACACAAGTTTCTATAAAACATGTTAGTCTATGATAGAAATGCATCTTTTTTTTCTTTATCTAAGGGTGAGAAGCATTTTCTTTATCTTAAACCTGCTCTTTAAGCAAACAATAATTAAAAAAAACATTCTCAAATAGATATTAAGGATATAAAGCTTGTTTATTTCAACAATTTTTTGTTTTGTTGAACATTTTTGGGTTTAATAGGCTTTATAAAACAACTGCTAAATTTAAGAGTTTGCTTAAGTCAAACTTACAAAAAAATAAAGCTACAGACGGCATTTACCTAGCTGTACAAGTTAGAATTTTTGTTTGATAATGTAAGCAACAATGACAATAGTAATTATTTTACTGAAATGTTTTGCAAAAATAGTAATAATTGTTTCTTCTCCATTTTAAAGAAAACTAATAAAATGATGCTAGATATTTTGTGTTTAAATTTCAGTGCTGATATCCTGTTAATAAGGTAATTGTTCATAACAAAATTCCTGTTTATGGATAAGATATTTATTATAAGCGAAGTGAAAACCAAATGCACTGAAGTAGCTTTAGCTTTTGGAAGAGACAAATAAAAACATGTAAACCTACCAAAACTCAACTGACCTTCAAATCAACTCTAAATTAATTACATTTTCACCTAATGTAAGAATTACAGTCTATTACAGCTAAATTGATATGGCCATTTTCAAAAAGTTTGAGTTACACTACCCTAGTGGAGACTTTCCATTGACTTCTATTCATATTGTATTCCTTTTTATGGCCTAATGTTAACCCTAACCATAACCCTAACCCTAAACCTAACCATAACCAACACATACCTAACCCTAACCTAAACCCAATTTGCATCTTACTTTCAAACCAAGAAGATAACTTGTAAGTCCCTGAAATGTAGCCTATTTCTGTGAAACAAAAACTTGGCTACATACATGCTGCACACTGCAAGTCAGGAGGCTAGAACAAGGACTAGAAATGATTTTCAGTCATGGAAACCGGAGCCTGTCATGAACTGAATGTGAACAATGACAGTACCAATCACTACCATTAAGGTAATATACTTGCAAAATGACTGTCAGCTTAAGGCAATGTTTCTATGAAAAAGCAGCCTCTAATTGAACAAATCAAAGCCTAGTAATCTAATTACTCTGAAAAAGTGGTATTTGAACCTTAAGAGCACCATATAAAAATGTCATGGTGACCCATGCTTACTTCCAGAACATCCAAAACAACTGAAGTGTTCTGTACAGAGACTCTGTAAACTTCTTACAGCACACGCCACAAAAAGCTGAGCTCAGGAGCAACACCTGGCATGTATGTTAAAGTATGTCTCTGTGTGTCAGTGTGTGTGTGGGTGCAACAGCTCACACACACCTGCTTTTCCATCAAAAGCCAGAGCCACACCTGAGCCCCAAACAAAGCTCCCCTCTATGCTGATAAAGACGGCATACAGTCCCCTAAAATCTGCCTTCACTCAAATCTGAACTCAAAGTTCACTGTTGATGAAAATATCCATTCTTTTAAAAGCCATGGGAGAGGAAAAACAGGTCTTCCCAGAGCGTCATCTGGTTCTAATGCAGGGTCTGCTGGTGTGGATTACAAGCGCATATAACAGGAGAACTCGGGCTGACCCCTCATCTCTATCCCTGGGGAAATGGGAGCTACTCTGCGATGGGGGGCCGAGTATCTAAGGAGCCGGGGGAGCAGAAGGGTGAATAGATGCATATGGGCAGCTTGCCACCTCACATGATTAGTACCCTCTTCTATGAGGGAGTTTGTCTGAGATCCTTTCAGTGCTCCTCTATTGCAAACAGGAAGCACATTTTTAACCCAAACGTCTCTCTGCAACGAAACAAAGTCTCTGCTTCATAAATTCCCTGTGGTCTTCTGTTTCTTTACGACAGCCCGAGCAAGACGTGAGAAAACTGAGCAGGTCCTCTATAATCATCAAAGTAGCACCAAAACATGCTTGTTTTATCTCATTAGGCACAATAAGCAGCTGGCCACTTTACAAGCCTTTGAGTTTTACTGGCCTGTTTAAGATTAAATAGGGGTTTAACAAATGCAGTAAACACGAGGAAAACACAAAGCTGGAATGCAGAGACAATTTCAGCAGCGGCTCATAAGGTTGGCAAGCAATTCTGGACGTTTATTAACCAGCACAATGGCGAAAACATTCCCATTAAAACAGCCCTGAATTAAACCAGGCAAAGACAGCAAAAATATGAAAATGCAACCAACAGGAAAAAAACATCTATCGTGTTTTGAATCTTCTCTAGATGGATATGATTTATCTGTCTTTTAGCACCAAGCAGCGCCCTGCAGGACTAAACACTCCACCTGATCTTTTTCAGATTTTCTAATTTTACAACTACATACTCTCCAAAGTAATACATTAGTGGCCCGAATGCCTATAATCCATTCTCTGGACTTTGGCTAAGCCATGTGCGTTTTCCCAAGTCATTCCATACTGTTTGTTTAGGCTGGTCCTGCTAAAACGTGAAACTCCACAGGTTTTCTTTCTGGAAGTTTTTGGATTTAGCTCCATCCATCTTCCCATCAACACTGATCAGCTTGTCTGTTCCTCCTAATGACAAGAATCCCCACATGATGATACTGCCACTGTTTTATGTTTAACATTGCCTGCAAGCTGAATCTTGGTTGTAAATAAGCATTTACAACTCACAAGAATCCATCTTGTCCCGCTCCTGGTTTAACTATTAAAGACCCAATCATGCTACAGTATTATGGTTTAAGGTGGGACATATGGCTGTGATGGAAGCAAGAGCTGCCAAGCCCACACCTGAAGCAAAATAAACATGGCAGTTCAGGAGGATGTGAGTGTAGCTATTGCTATCATCTGTTTACATGCATTAATTCATACTTTCATTTTTGAAAGAGTAATAGTTGTTGTTTTTTTTAACACGGCATCTGCTGCTGCTTCATTTGTTTCTGTAATTTACTAAAAACAAACTTTGGTTTTATCCAAAGGTGGGCACTAGGTGTCAGTTTCCCAAGTCCTCTTGAATGTTCTGTTAAACATCAGAGGAGTCCTAAATTGATCATGTACAGAACTAAACCTAAGTGTAGCACATTATAAATCTGGCTTTCCAGGTTATTATATTCTCAGGGTGTAAAGTTTCTGCAGCATATCTGTTTAATATAGTTTTAAAAATGCATTGGAAAATGTCAAGCACGATTCTCATGGCTTTTATTTTGAAAATTTGAGAATGTTTCTACCCTTACACAAAGATCAGAGCTTTGGACTTAAAGTTATCATGTTAAAGGAGTTTCCTAACTGAGCTGGGGACCTTTGAGGCCTTCACAGATCAGCTTGATTTAAACTAAGAAAAATATCACTAATCTGAAGCAATCTTGAAGGAGTTTACTGAGGTTTTTAAGGGGGTATTAAACTAAAGGCCAAATGTAAATGCAATAATTCCTGTTGCACAATGAAAATGTGAATAAAACACATTTAAATGGGAAACAAAATGCAAAAGATTCACTTTTGAAAAAGGCAGCATATCCAGCTCAAACCAGGTCTATTATTTGTGAGTTGATGTTCTTACCTGTAGTATCTGGATTGCAGATAAGTGGAGCACACTGCTTTGGACACATGACTGGCTGAGCCAAAGTCAATGACTTTGACCCTGTAGGGCTGACGAGAAGGATCCACAAGCATGATGTTCTCTGGCTTCAGGTCGGCGTGGATCAGTCCGAGGCTCTTCAGTTTCATTAGCGCCGTTGCCACCTGCTGAAGCACAGGTCTGATGTACTTGAGTGGCAAAGGGCTGAACTTGTTCTGTTTGAGGAAGTCATACAAGTTCTGTTCCAACATCTCAAACACCAGGCACGTGTGGTTCTTGTGCTGGAAGCACTCGTAGGCTCTCACAAAGTTGTAGTCGTCTGCGCTCTCTGTGCTGAGGCGCGCCAGGATGCTGACCTCAATTTGCCCCTGCCGTGCATATGAAGGGTGGTTTTTTAAGATCTTGATGGCCACTATCTCATTTGTTCCCCTTTTCCAACACTTCACCACCTGCCCAAAGGTTCCTCTACCCAAGAACTCCAAGACTTCATAGGTGTTGGTCATGGAGCAGAGCACCTCATGCTGGACTAGTTGGTAATCCCCCTCGTTGTTGGAGCCGCTGTTTTTGGACGTCGCTGTGGAGGTGGCGGTTGCCACCGTGGCCGCCGTTGCTCCACCTGTTCCTCCGTTCTGGATCATGGGTGGGCCGTGTTCCTCAATGATCTGCACACTGCTGTTGTTGTCGAGCTCTTCACTCTTGCGTTTAAGCCCACATCGCTGGTAAGTGTCCAGGAGACTCACCGTGCTGCGGCGCGTCAGGTTGTGAACTCCACCGCCTCCGCCACTGCTGTTGCTGCTGCTGTTGCCTCCACCACTGCTACCCAGCAGAGACCCGACGGCCCCCGAGGTGCTGCTAGCTGAGGCAACCACAATATGACCAGCGCTGGCTGGAAAGATCAGGGCCTGCTCGTAGGGCAGGGTGGAGCTGGCGACCTGCAGGGAGCTGTTGATGCCTAGAGGAGCACCACCGGTGGCAGAAACGTTCTTGCTGCTGTTGTAGCTGTAGACTTTGCTATGTGTGCCGTACCCTGTCATATCCCAGTTACAACTCTGCTCCACCTTGAGTTTTTTTACGCTAAAGAAGGCACTTGACTGGAGAGTTTGAGGGGAGAACACTTGCACTTGCGAGGCCATACCTGTGACAAGGGGTGGGGGTACAGGGGAGGAGCAAAAAAAAAAATGAAATGAGAAGGTAGGAATCTGAGAGTCTGTAACACGAGCAGTGGTTACAAGCTTTAAATAAAAACAGCTTGTGTCAGAGGGGGTCATTAAAACAGAGAGCATATGGCAGGGCAACTACTAGATTATAGTGACAAGTAAAATCAAAAAAGAAACCCTTTAACACACTGTTACTGTGTTTACCCCCACCCACCCACCCACTACAACCACCACCATCTCCAGATTTCTTCATCAAAGAACCTTGAACTTAAACACTGAATTATACCATTTAAAATTCATAAACAAACAATGAAAGTGTGGCATGTATTTAAATTCAACACCAATGAGTAACTACTCTTTGGTCATTAGGGGGTTTGGCTTTACCTTCATCTATGTTTTTGTTTCCAAAATAGTCCAAGCTTGGTCAGATTTTGTTGACAGCTTTGGAATATCACTTTTCAAACCTTTCTCAGATAACTAATACTATTTAGGTCTGTACTTTGACATTCTAATTTGTTAATGTAGTTTGATCCAAACTTTGCCTTTCCATCAGTAGCTCTATAATCTTTAATGTCCTGCTGGGAGTACCAATCCATCCCAGTCCTCTGCAGCTGCTAACAGGAGTCCTTCCGGGGATGGCAGGAATTCAACTGTTGTTCAGTATTCCCACAGCATGATGCTGCCACCAACATCAACATGTTATGCACAGGATGACGGTTGGCAGCATTAGTTTTCATGTTCACCAGCAACTGCACGCAGGGTTTTTAGTGGTACAATTGACAGATATTCCCAACTGAGCAGTTGAATTTCTGATTGTTCTGCTTGCCTGACCTGATAGTTTATGTAGACTGTCAGTAGAATATAATAGAATAGGATAGTATTTATTTGTTCAAATTGTTGAAAGCCTTGTGAGAGGTATTACTTATATAATTCTAATAATATTTCTAAGAGAAATAATCAAACATTTGAAATTTCTTCTAATTGCTCAGTAGCTTTAAGACACAGCAAAATGTTCAGTAAAGAGATAAGCAGATTTGGATTACATGCTGCTCAGACAAACCACTGGGTCAGGTCTTTCCCCCTCTTTTCTCAGCCAGAGCACTGTATACAGACTGTGTGAATAATAACACTTTTAATTGACATCTACAGAAGATCAGCAACACAAAATAACAATAAAAACATACATGACGAATGTACGTTTGAAAGAGTCATGTTTTTCTTATCCTCCTAGATGTAAAACACACAAAAACATACACAGGCAATTACTGTTACACAATTACTCATTAAAGAGAAGGTGGAGGGAGAATGTGTGTTCAAGCAACTATAAAAATGAGAAGAAGGGCACTGAACTCATGCACAAGCACAGATCCTGGAAACAACAAAACAAAAGCAGAAGCAGCAGCGAGGCTGTGCTCCGAACTCCTGGGAAAAAGTTGCCTCAGAATAAGCAAAAGCTTCTCCAAGCAAACAGCTGCCCAAAATAGCCCCTTTCTTTATCTCTCTCTCTGTTTTTTTGCAAACAGACTTCTATGTAACGTTGAAACAATTATTATAGCAGAAAAAAAGATTATCCGAGGCTTGGGCACATAGACCTTAAATTAGATGACTGCTAACAAACAAAGAGTTTCCCTCCGTTCCCACAGACTGATCCACTGATTCACTGGAACAAAGCTCAGGAAATCAGAATTCAAAACTTGTTTTCTGTATGTGAAACTGGGATTTTTAGCAAAAACCTTAGAAGCTGGAAATCTTATGTTTTGTTTTCAAAAGCGATTAAGCATTAAAAGCCTGTCTCCAAATAGAACAAGGATTATACTGCAGGCTCCACTGTGCAGACAGAAGAAATGGCCACTTTGTCATTATTAGCCCTTTCAGTGTTGATGATGATTAATTCAGTAGCAAGCTGGCAGCCTTCCTCTCCTCTTTGATTCAATTGTTTTATTTTATCACTGCTGACCTCTCTTCCTCCTACAATTTCTTTTTTTCATTTTTTTTTATCTTTCATTTTGGCCTAGTTTGACTTTGTGCGGTTATCTGGTTTTAGCCTGAAAGCAGCACAACTGAAGATGCATTTCATATAACAGAGCTTAGAGCATGCTTAACTGATAATGTCCGGTACCTACTTCAGACCATCCTTTTTACACTGACTGGACTAGAATATATTCATAGTTTACAGAGAAACAGAAGATGAATGCATGTCTATGCATGTGTTCTATCATTTCACTTTAACTTTAGAGTCACGCATTCATCTTTTTTCCTCTCATTCTGTGTTGAATAAAAGACAAAATTAACATTTGTGACTGCAATGACAAAAGAAAAGAATCAAATAGTAGTTAATAGTTAATATGTGGTTATCTGTTCTTAGCCGTAATTCAGCAGGATTGAAAGTGAATTAAATTAAAGCGCTTCCCGCACATTTAACTTACCGGTAGAGTACCCTCAACTTGTTTTCTGTACATTTTTTAAACTCTTCTATGCAATTAACATGTCTGTTTTGTTTCTCCCAATGATTTGCTTGGACTTCTCTAGAAAAGCAACACAGAACGTCCGTGAGGCTATTAGGGCCAAGGCTCTCTGCTAATCACATAAGCCCTGAGGGCCAGATGTCACTCCTTGGATTACCGATTCCTGCGCCTGGACTTTAACGCTAAAAATAATTTTGAATGATGGGTTGCGTCACAGAACAGCGTCAGCCCCGTGTGACTGAGGCACAGGCTGACGGACACTGAGATGGATGGATGGGCGCAGATTCAGTCGGTCCCTCTTATGGAAACATATCTGCCAGTGTGATTATGGAGCGCTCTGGTTTTATGAGGACAGGCCAAATCTAACTGCTCCATACATCTGTATCACATAAAATCATAGTTCCCATCACCCATAGAGTCACAGTCTTTTCAACAGGTGGTTTGATATTACTACTGCTTATGAAGATGAGATCATATGTGTCACCTGAAAATGGTGTATGTGTTTGAAATATTGCCAAACAAAACAAAATTAAAGAGCTGCGACTTCAATCGAAACACTTAAAGTTCAGTTTTGATATATTTCATAATTTCCTGCATTTCTGACAATGAGGAAAAGGTGAACAAACGGCAGCAGTTTAAGGGGCCTTGTGCACAAGACAGATAAGTAATTAAATGAGCCAAACACAAGAGGTCAAATGGTTGGAATGTTATCTCATGACTACATTCATAGACAACAATGTGACCAATTATAGTTGGTTGGGAAAAGAGGTCTGCCTCTCATGAATCAGTCTTCAATAAACTCAAACTTTAAACATATTTATGATTTCCAGTCTGAAACACTAAACTCTCAGTGAAGGTGAAATCTATGCTTGGATTTCTGAACTCTGCTGCCTATTCCCAAACTGCAAAACTCCATTGTTGTACATTTACAATGTTGGAGTGCCTTCAGTAGCCAAGGCGTTCCATTTAGCATACCTTAAGGAGCATTGTGTGTCCCACAGTCTGCAATTAAGCATACCAGAGAGGCAGTTCAGTCTGGTCAAAAGCAGCATGTTGAAACGATAATAGTCGATGTTTTCAGAGAGATTACTTCTCTGTCAGGGGTTGGTTAATCTTCTTTTTGGGAGGATCAGGGCCATTCTGCATGGAGTTTAAGGGTGAGGGATGGACTGGAAGGGAGGGAGAGAACAGAGATTGAGGAGGGAGGTCATGAGAGGCGCTTGAAGTGCAGCCGTTGATGACTTCTGTTTGCCATCTTTTATTAAACTCTGGATCCAAGTTTGGATGGATTTTAGAAGCTACTAAATATGCAAAGCATCTCCTCGTTTGACAAAAATAGCAAAGGAAATGCACAAAGTATCCTTGAGATCTGTGCAATCCAGAGTTTTAAAAGTAGAACAATGTATTTGAAGCATCAGATAAAGTGCTGAAGCTTTCAGCTTTTTCTCCACCACCGGAGGAACTGCTTTATGTTCAATCGACAACAAAATGTCAGGGTGAAAAGATTGAAGGGAGGAACGTCAGCCATCACCTGGGAGACTGTCGACTCCGGTCTGTCTGCTCAGTGTCTCCAGGCTTAGATATATTTGGACAACTTCTTGAGGCTTAATGGCTACTGACACCAGAAGAAATACTCTTGATGACCCAGTGTCTTTTACTGGACATCCAAGCGTCAGCAGGACTTGATGGGGGGCTGGGTCCAGTTTGTTGGTTAATGAAATAAGTTCTGACTGTCTAGACAAAGTATTAGCTCACCCTTTGCTCTTGATTTTATGCTTGAAGCTGCTGCAGCACAAAGAGCATTTTTCAAAGTTAAAAAACTAAACGGAAAGATGTTATCATAATATACCTATGGAAAATACACTGGTTATACAGGGATTCAAACTTCTGTAGAATATGCATTTACATACATGTAAATATTTAAAACTAATCAGAGCTAAAAAGTTGTGAACCTTGATGATAGCAAGTTGAAGGTCACAAAGCAGATAAGATGATCCCTACACACAGAGAATGAAAGAGAAAAAAAGTGTAAAACATGTTTTTTTCTCATCAAATATGTATAAATGGGATGAAAACAATGAAACAAGTTATCCAAAAGAAAAGACAAAGCTCAGATTTGTCTGTCAAAAATCAAAAATAAACATCCACAGAGCTAAAAATGTAAGAAAATAAAATCCAGGCTGATCAACAAGTTCAAGGTCGACATTTTCCACTGAAATAAAATCTGATGAGGATCACAGAGGATGTTATGGGTGAGTGGTATTTCTCCGTAGTTTGTCAAATTTGCTATGGTCAAATAACAGCCACAAGTTGCATGATCTCTTATTCATGTATGCATGAATAAGAGATCATGCAACTTGTTGCACTAACACACCCCTCATGTGTGCATGAGGGGTGCTTAAGAGGTGTGCTTCTGCTCAGCTGGAAGCCATTTCTGCAACCTTTACAGAGGTTTGGCTTCTTCCTTCTCCAAGAGATGACCTCTAGCCGCCGCAAGTCTAATAGTGCTGGGA